AATATTTTGTTGAGGTAGAAAAATCTATTCTCTCTACTTTTTTCATGGTAGAAACACTGACACAGGACTGTCCTACTAGGAAGAGGTAACAATTCATCAGCTAAGCAGGACCTTCAGGAAGAAAAAAAATCCTGTGTACCAGTGTTTATTCTGTGTTTAAGTACTCTGAATTCTTTCCTATTCTCCCCGCAAAGCCCAAGTGACCACACAAAGGAAATAAGGCAAGCGAAGCTGGAGAGGGCATGTGTGGGATATCTTACAAGTTAAGAGAAAACAAAGAGGAATTCCAGGAACAGTGCTGTGAGAGAGAGGGATCTGACCAGAGGAAGGAGCCCCCCAAAAGTGGATAAAGTGGAATGTCGCCCTGACACTGCCATCCCTCCAGAAAACTCTTACAACACCCTGTGAAGCCAAACAGCAAAAAATCAACTTCTGTAGACTTTTTAAAGATCCACATGAAAAGCTTCCAAGGTGCCAACTGTGGTAGAACTAAACGAGAGAGTTGAACTACGTAAGAAAGTGTTCAACGGTCACTGGCCTGTAGCACACGGCAGGGACTGATGTACACATACAGGTAGCATGCAGTCTGCTATCTAATACACTACAGATAAAGTCCGCGAACATTTAGGTTTGCCAGGCAAATAAAACTCTCCCTCAGCTTGTGGAATGGGCTTCATGTACATGGTAATTCTCAGATGCTGCGTTTCTCTGACACTACATGAAACTAAGTTTATACCCCTGTTTCAAGATCCTTTTTAAGGAACCTAACTTTGGGAAACTCCATATTGTGAAGAAACAACCATATTACATATGCAAAATGTGGGCTTCCTTCCTGCACCCCAAATATAGCTGAAGGACTTTGCTAGAGAATAAACCAGAATAAGTGTACATTTGGGGTTCTCTGAGTTGCGCGTTTGGCCTATCAGCAAAGTTCTAAAACGCTTTTGAAACATCAAGTCTGCCCATCCTTGTCTTCAAGATCATTAATTCTGGGTGAGAGCAAAAATTTCCAGCCCGAGAATAGTTGCAGCCTGCCTCACCCAGAAACTAATTCTTCAGACACATACCTGTCTGCTGAAGTCACCCTTTCGCAAAGATACAGCATGCCATATATGTACATCATTAAACGTATATGCAAGAAGACATATGCCCAAAAGGGAAGCTTCATGAAACCTTTGCTAAACCAGTTCAAACACTGTCAGGTTTTAGAGAGGAGTTTGAGAACAAAAA